TCAAAAGAGGAGTCCGGTGCGGTCTCATTTACCCAATCATCAAAAACAGACGATTGATCGAGAACGTTGATGTCGTTGTTCGAGCCCGCGACACCGAAAAAAGCATGCCAAATCCACAAGTCATTCGAACCAACAACTTCGAGCATGATGGTAGGCTTGGGATGATCTTCCCACCATTGAATACAATTCGTCGCGAAACAACGAAAAAATAAAGCTCTTCTTTCATCGTCGGAAGATGAACCCATTTTTAAAATATATTTTTTAAAGATTTATAATAAATAATAAATATTTTAGAGAGAATATGAAATGAGATGTGAGAGACTGAGAGAGAGATGTGTGAGAGAATGATATTTTTTAGGGGAATTTATAGGTTTTTTTTAAATTTTGATTTTTTTTTTAATTTGGGGGGGGGGGGGGAACGGCTAAAAAAGCCGTTGGGAGAGCCGTTGGGAGGATCACGCAGCGTCATTCCTTTGACGCACGCCGGATCACGCCCAAATAACGCCGGAGGGGGGCGGTGTTTCATGCCCCCAGGGCGTTAAACGCCCGTTCACACCGGCGGGCGTGAATCCCATTTCCAGTGCTCTAATAAAAATCAAAGACATGTAATCAATAATAATTGTTTTTTGAAAAAAAATATTTTGTAATAAATTCCCCAATTGTAATAAAAACTCAGTCGTCAATTCGGTCTACTTAAATAATTTCATATTTTAATGCTTGTTTTTTTTGTAATTTTTCTTCTATGCTATTTCATATTTTAGTTAATTGGCATAAGAGTAGAGTCTGTGTCTGGTACTTGCAGAAGTCCAACAACCACATTATATCTCATTCTTAACTTTATTAATCGTCACGTGTGTAAGAACTAAATTGTCTAGATACGAGACATTGAAAATAATGGAACATTTAATAGAAAATACTCGAATGATTTCATATTAATGGTATCGACATGGGTAAGTAACATATTGATACCTCGATGAATTAATGTTCCAAATTAAGAGAATTATTTAACTTAATAAATTGATAAATATTAATGGCAAAAAACAAGTTTCATCTCTATTATGAGATAATGAATTTTTAATAATATTTTACTAATATAATATATGAAGTAATTTATTAAAATAAAATGTGTCACTGTGATTCGTGTGCTTCCACATATAGTATTTATAATTTATCATTTCAATATCTCTGACTCAATAAATAAAAAAGGAATGTTAAATGTGTAAATTTTTTTTAATCATAAAATAATTAGAAAAATAAATTACATATAGAAAAATATACATACATACATACATACATACATACATACATACATACATACATACATACATACATACATACATACATACATACATACATACATAAATATATATATATATATATATATATATATATATATATATATATATATATAAGTAACTAAGAAACATATGTTTCAAAATGTTATCAAGTGCTGGTAATTTAGATTTTATACGATTCTAACTCTTATAATTTACTCTTGTCTCGTCTAGGATCATTTACCAATTTTTCCTATCTCAAATTTAGAATTTTTTCACAACTTTTATCACACACACACACACACACATATGTGAAGAATTGATATTTTCCAATAATCAAAATGTGTAAATACAAGGGAGAATATATAGTAGAGTATTCCTAGATAGTTTAGGAAACCTACCATGTTAGGAATCCTTAACTAATAAGGACTAGACATGTATGGAAACTACAATATATACAAATATACTAAATATATGTTTAATATATTTAACATGCTCCCAACGGCACTGGTGTAGAACTCCGCACGCCCAAGCAGGCCGGAATTCCGAGAAAATGATAGATGGAAGACCCTTCGTGAATATATCAGCATACTGGAGGGACGAAGGGACATGAAGTACGCGGACCTGTCCGAGAGCCACTCGGTCTCTAACAAAGTGCATGTCAACCTCAATGTGCTTCGTGCGCTGATGCTTGACAGGATTTGCAGAGAGGTAGACAGCACTCACATTATCACAAAAAACAAAAGTGGAGTGGCTAAGTGGTTGCTGGAGCTCGAGTAGAAGATTGCGTATCTAGCTAACTTCGGCTACGACATTTGCTACAACACGATATTCTACCTCGGCACTGGATCTGGATGTGGTGAGCTGGCGCTTAGAAGACCAGGAAGTGAGGTTATCGCCAAGGAATATGCAGTAGCCGGATGTAGACCGGCGGGTGTCAGGGCAACCGGCCCAATCGGCATCTGAGTAGGCCCGCATATGGTTTGTGTGGGATTTGGAGATGGAGATGCCATGTGATGGTGTGTCGTGGAGGTAGCGCAAGACTCGCTTCATGGCTGTGACATGAGGCGTGCGTGGAGCATGGAGGAATAAACAAAGCTGCTGTACGACATAAGTAATGTCAGGACGAGTGAAAGTGAGATACTGCACGGCCCCCACAATAGAGCGGTACAGGGAAGGATCTCGCGCAGGTGTGCCTCCTGAGGCTGACAGTTTCCCCCGTCTATCAACCGGGGTGGACACCGGTTTGCAATTGAGCATGCTTGCTCGATCAAGAATATCATAGAGAAACTAAGTCTGTGTCAAGAACATACCATGAGAGGTGCGCTGGACATTGATTCCAAGAAAAAAATGTAGATCCCCCATATCTGTCATGGCAAACTCACCCTTCAGTCGTTGTATGACCCGCCGTAAAAGCTCCTGCGAGGAAGCGGTGAGAATGATATCATCAACATACAGAAGTAGGAATGCCATCTGAGTCCCTTGACCATAAGTGAACAAGGAAGTGTCGCTCTTGCACCCGCGGAAACCAAGTGTGAGAAGGAAGCCAGTGAATCGCTGGTACCAAGACCGTGGTGCTTGTTTCAGTCCATAGAGCGCCTTGTTCAGTTTGCATACATAATGAGGTCGGGTAGGGTCTTGGAATCCAGATGGTTGGGCCGTGTACACTGTCTCTGTAAGGGCGCTATGGAGGAAGGCATTCTTGACATCTAGCTGGTGGATTGGCCATCCCCGTGATACGGCCAAGCTGAGAATAATCCGAATGGTTGCCGGTTTGACCACCGGGCTAAATGTCTCATCATAATCGATTCCATGGCGTTGATTGAATCCACAAACAACCCATCGAGCTTTATACCTGGACAATTCACCTGTAGGGCTGAGTTTGTGTCTAAAAAGCCATTTACCAGAGATAACATTTTGGTTAGGGGAGGGAGGTACTAAATCCCATATATTATTAGCAATCAAAGCATTATATTTATCTAACATAGCATTGTACCAATTTTGATCTTTAAGTGCACTACGGTAGGTAAGGGGGATGGGGGATATACTGGCAACGGTGTTGAGGTTTATGACACGTTTGGGGCAAAAAATCCCGGGTTGCTGGGCT